TAAAAGAAACCCAGTAAAAGAAACCTTAATTTAAAACACAAAAGAGATACTTTTAATATTAGAAAATAATTTATTTAAACTTATAAAATAATTTATACTTGTATTTCATTTACTTTTAAAACGAGCAAATATTTATTTACAGTTTGTTTTTACATTTAAAAAACCAATTTTCTTCTTGTAAGGAAATAATTTGCTTATTCTTATATAGATATTTTATATCAAAGAAATCATTTTTTTATCGAGAAATTCATGATTTTACAAATTAAAAAAAAATTACTTTATATTTATGACATATTTTCTAAAATCTAACAAATATTTTTTTAAGTTTAGAAATTATATTTAACAAAATATATTTCTTTAATTTAAAGAAATTTTTTCAGTATATACATTACCAATTTAAATTTCGATTTTCTTATTTCTTTATTAATTTAATAATTATAAATAATTACATTTATTTTTTTATATATAATATTTATAGAAGCATTTATAGAATATTACTACAAATATTTATTTTTTGTTTATTATAAATATTGTATAAAATATTTAGTCTATATTTTAATAATATTTTTTGATACTTAAATAAAATTTTTTAATACTTTTTTCTTTACGTATATAAAAAAATATGTATATATTTTTAAAAAATAATTCAAAATAAATATTTATAAATATTTTTCATAAATATTGTTTGCTGTCTGGAAAAACGCTCCTAATATTCATAATTAAATGAGGACCTTGTTGAAGATTTCTAGGTGAGTTGCTTAGGAATCCGTGAAAATTTATTTAGGAAAATCCATATAGAAATTCACATCGAAAATAAAAATCCATATGGAAATCCATATGTGGTTATCCATATGAATTTTTAAAGACCATATACATTCCTATACTGAAGGAAAAATTATCTTAAAATCAACAAATATTCCTTTGATAAATGCCATTAACATGTTTACTTCAATCTAAATTCTCTTCATTTAAATCAAATATTGTTTATCTGATTTAAGTAAACAATATTTGGTTTAAATAAAGAAAATAGATTTAAATAAATATGTTAATGGCATCCATAAAAGAAATATTTGTTGATTTTAAGGTAATTTTAAGGTAATTTTTCGCTCAGGGTATATAGATTTTTATTTTCTATATGGATTACTATATGGATTTGAATTTTCCATGTAAATCCCTATATGGATTTCGAATTTCCAGATGGATTCCTATATGAATTTTAATTTTCTATAGATTCCTATATGAATTCTTATGAATTTTAAATTTCCTATATAGATTCCCATTGATTCATGTGGAAATCCATTTGAAAATTTTCAACAAGAATATTAGTTCAATACGCTGTCGATTATATGTATCATCAAAATTGAGATAATTATTTAATAAAAAGTTATTATTTAATACATATATTAAATGATCGAGGTATAAATTAGCACAATTTCAATACTATGATACACACCTCTGGCACGTAATTTCCAGAGCATGGCGGTGGATGACGACTACTTGAAAATGCCAAAACGGGAACCAAATCGATACTGATCGGCTGTTCGCGATTAGGAATCTGCAAAGACAATGTAAATGCTGGACCTGATTTTTTTATCCTTACCTAAAAAACAAGAAAAAATATTTAGAGATAAATAGGAATTTATATATTTTTATTTTTAATCTTGGATAAAAATGATTGATACATATTTTATGGTATAATGGTAATAATACGTACAGTATAATCTTTAAGTTTCATTCTATTATTTTCATTGGTGACATGAGTCGCTTTACTCAAAATACGTTCAATCCATCTACGAAAGCGATCTTGATCCAAGTATGTCTGATTATCTATGAAAGACATCATATCTCTAAACAAAAAACATAATTATTTTTTTCTCTTTTTTATATTTGTATTATAAAATAATTTTATTCTCTAAATATAAATAAGTTATACTTATGTGCTTTTTGATCCATATTTAATGTATTGTTTCTAGAGATATTTGTGCATATTTTAATGTAACCTGGTAAGTTTGTGCTAAACTGTAATATATAATAATAATACATAATTATCAATTATTGACTAAGAAACTCTTTTTATTATACACTATTTTTTGATTATTGATTAAGAAACACTTCTTATTATACACGATTAAAAATGCACTGCTTTTACCTGTACGTTGTCTTCTTTGATAGGTAATTTAATTATTAAATTTAAATCAAATTCATCAGGTGATCCAATTTTCGTTTTTTTATAAAAGCTTCCAGTATATACAGTTCTTTTAAATGTTTTTTTAAATAATGAGTTTTGATTTTTCATAATATCTATCAACTCATTATAAGCCTGTAACATAGTGACTATACAAATACATATATGAAATTTTTTAATAATACAAGGATCTTTCTAAAAAATACCTCGTTTAAATGCTCATTTATTTCTTTTACATTTTGATGTTCTAAACTTATAAATTGTTTATTTATTTCATTGAATATCGTGTCATTATCAAGATATTTCTTAACTTTTTGGTCCATATTGATAGGTTTAATATCTGGAATAATTACAAATTATTGTAAATTATTGTGTAAAATTTTTGTAAGTTATTGTAAATTATTTTGTAAAATTATTATAAAATTGCACTTATATATGTTATTATTTAAAACATTTATTATATTTATACGTTAATATTTAAAGTACGATCAAGAGTACCAATATTACTTAATACGACAGTCCCTTTCTTTCAAAATAAAAAATACTTGAATTAACTTTGTAAGCTAGAAGATTTGTTTGCGATATTTGGATATTTACATCACTCATCTCATTTGACGTCAGAAGCGCATACCAATTCCTGTGAAATATAAGGTGTAGTAAAGAGAAATCCATTATTTTTGCATGAAATTGAAGACTTTGTTTAGCATAGTTAGAATGATCCGATTTAGGTCAAATATGCACCGTTTTGTTCAATAACTTGTTGCCATTTTGAAGGTAATTCCATTATGCCTCTCTCATAGAAATCCTTGTCTCTATTGGCAAAAAACTGGGACAGTCGATTTTCACAAATTTCTCTTAAGGCGAATTTTTCACCAGCAAAATCATTCGCCATAGACAGGAACAGGTGGTAATCACTTGGTGCCAGGTCCGGACTATAAGGTGGATGCATAAGAACCTCTCAACCAAGCTCCCGGAGCTTCTGGCGAGTCACTATCGATGTGTGTGGCCTGGCGTTGTCCTGTTGGAACACAATTCCTCTCTTATTGGCCAAAGCTGGCCGTTTCTGGGCGATTGATTCCTTCAGACGGTCCAATTGTTGACAGTACAGGTCCGAATTAAGAGTTTGGCCGTAAGGGAGCAGCTCATAGTGGATGATTCCCTGCCAATCCCACTAAACACACAGCAAAACCTTCCTGACCGTCAATCCTGGCTTGGCCACCGTTTGCGCCGGCTCACCGCGTTTCGACCACGACCGTTTTCGCTTGACGTTGTCGTAAGTGACCCGACCCACTTTTCATCACCAGTCACCATTCGCTACACTCAATGGGTCGATTTTGTTGCGATTCAGTAGCGATTCGCAGATGGAAATTCGGTCCATGAGGTTTTTTTGCGTTAACTCGTGTGGCACTCATACATTGAGCTTCTTTTTGTATCCAGCCTTATTCAAATAGTTCCAAACGGTTTTTTGTGCAATGTTTAACTCCTGGGCAATCGAAACAGTGCTTACATGACGGTCGGACTCGACGATTTCCATTATTTTATCAACATTTTCGACAATTGGCCTTCCAGAACGTGTTGCATCTTTGACATCAAAATTACCGGAACGGAATCGACGAAACCAAAATTGCGCGTGATTGGCTGTTACAGTATCAGGACCATAAACACTATTGACATTTTCAGCCGCCTGGCTTGCGTTTTCGCCTTTATCGAAGAAAAACTGTAAAATATGGCGTATTTTCTCTTTGCTGGTGTCCATCTTTGACGCGCGCTCAAACAATACTGAGTCAAACAATCACAAAACTGTCTGAGAAGTTTTTTTAGTACGAAATCTTATCTTTCTAGCGCCATCTAGCATAAACCGATCGCACTTCCCTTATAGAAATATCATATTAAGAATCATTGATAATTACTTATTATCCAGTATTTTTAATACTGAAAATAAGTAATTATCAATGATTCTTAGTATGATATTTCTATAAGGGTTATACAACGCGAGATACACATTACTAAAGCCATCTGTTGGAAAAATAATGGATTTCTTTTTATTACACCTTATACATTGAAATAAAAAGATATATCTGTAAAGCCCCTAAGAGCGCAGATGTCCAGGGATCATCTAGAGTACATCCTGAGGAAGTCCTGAGAACATTTGTTCGTCCTCAGGACGTCTTTAAGACGTCTTCAGGAAATCTTGTGCTGTCTGGGACAACATTTGCAATTAATCGAGCAAATCTATAAAATAATCCAAACACTTTAAATCCAACTTTTTTTTGCTTTAACAATCAATAATGTATCGTAAATTAATATGACAGAATAATGCGGAGAGATAAAAAGTTAAAATGTACATTTTATTTCACGTTTATTTATGGCAACTTATTGATTGTTACAGCAAAAGGAAAGTGTTCGGATTATTTTATAAATCTACTCGATTGATCGCAGTATCGCTTTATGGATATATCTTTTAATTTCAACGTATTTTGCAAGAATTTTTAATATACGTTTCCTCATTTCTGATATCAATAAAAAGAGATAGACGACACAGGATGTAAGAACACAGAAGCCTTAATAGTACTACGTCAACAACCCAGTAAGCAAATTGAGCGCAGACTGCGCGCAGATTGGCAGCAAATTTGATCAAAAACCCACAGCAAAACCATAGTCATCTGTGTCTACATTAGACTACGCTTTTGGCGACAGATCTTGCTGTCGGACAATTGGTGCCAAATTGGCAGCAAAAACCGTGCAAAGCTTGCATCGCAGCAAGGTCTATGCGATTTTTGCCACCAATCTGCCGTCAAATCGTTACAAGCTCTGGACAATTTTTGTTGCAAATCTGCAGCAATTATCCGACAACAAGTTCTGCCGCATATCTGGCGGTAATTTGGCAGCAAGATTTGATATAACAGATCCTGCATCAAATTTGTTATCTATTTGCCATCAAAAGTTGATAGCAAGCTCGAAATCTGTTCGCGCAGGTTTGGCTATCTGGGAACTTAAGAAATTTGCTTCAAACAAGTTTTGAACAAGTTTTACTAGATGGTACTTACGCGTGTCTAAAATACATCTTTAAAAGACATCTTATAGACATCTCATTTCAGATGTCTTATTTTTTTATATCTTTTAGACGTCTCTTCTAAAGCCTTGTGTCCACGAAGTCAGAAATCAGCCGAAGATCTAAATCCGAGAGATAAGCAATCTATTTGCAGCTTTTATGAAAAGGCGATAGTTTTATTGGCTACACGTTTCTCGGGTTGAGATTTCGGATTGATTTCTAGTATCGTGAACACGATGCTTAAGATGTTTTTTAGACGTCATATTTCAAATGTTTTTATGTCTATTAAATAACATTCTTAAGACTATGTATGACTGCCTACATTATCAACTATACGATTTATATACGCTCTTGCTATAGCAAATGGGTGCTTTCTAGTTGTGTACACTGTGTTACACAAAACCAGTTTATTGGTTGCATATTATCTTACAAGATGTTTTAGATAATATGTGACCAACAAACTGGTTTTATGTACGTGTGTGTCAAGATGTGTTTAGCAATTGAAAAGCACCCAATAACGACCTTTTAAGGGGATGCTGAACGCGATTCCGAACTTCAAAAGCGTCGGTAATGTAGTACGCGTCAGTTTAGGACAGACGCTAGATGGCAGTATGTTCGACGCGACCATTAGTAATGCAATATATCGTAGTATAGACGTAGCAAGGCGACTTATATTTGCGATCTTTTCGAACGGTTTTAAGAGGTAGTAGACTCAGTAGGGAAGTAAAATATCAGTTTCTTAGCTTTGTAAAACTTGGTTATATTCATCTTACTCAATTTTTAAAGTAAATCTTAGAAAAGCTTAGTAATCTGAGTCTAAAATCTCATACACAAGAGCCCATGGCGTCCTCGGAAGGGGACGCCAATGGGCCCTTTGTTAACAAGAATTCTACAACAACGCAACAGTTGCCGGCAACATAATGGGCAAAAACGCAAAAAAGAATAAGGATTCGTCCTTAGTTAAGGATATAAGTGGACTGCAATCCAGATTCAGACGCGATTTTGACGATCATAGGCGCCAGCAGTCGAACCATCGAAGGACATTCGGAGGCGAGGAAGAGGAAAATCTCTCCGGAAAGTAATGTCTCACAGAGCAAAGCAATCAAACATAAGGGTACAAATAGCTAAGTTCCAATAGCGCCTACTCAGGTGGATAATTATTATAATGGATCTTACCGAGCTCCTTTTTATGTCCTAGTTAAGAAGATACATAAGCTCGATAATACTAAGGAGAATAAGGAAATCATCCTTATGAAGGATGAATATAAAACACGACTGTAGTTTATGCTTCGTTCGTCGCGAGCTCGGAATACGCGTCTACCGCTGGGCAACGCCTAGGGG